GGCAGAAGCTGAGAGATTTAGCAGTTTTACTGTCAATTTCCAGGGAAATTTCTGAACCCCTGGTGAGAAACTCCTACTGGTGATAATGTGTGAGTAGTAATATACATTTTTATGGTGGGCTTCATCCCACCCTTCTGCAGTCCAGCTTGGCTGTTCTGTTTCAGTGGTAATAAACTACTTTTTGTAACATCCTTGTGGCATAGTGACTAGGAGTAAAGGCAGATAACATAATTGGCCCATGTGCAGACTTGACTGTTTGGAACCTGTTAAACTCCAATGTGCCAGCCAGCATTCAGTTGATCAGCCCCTTCAAACTGCCATGGCATCTCTGGTAACTGTCCAGGTGTATGTGGAGAATAGCAGAAGGGAACTGCGATATCTCACTTGTTCAAAGCATTGTGCTTCTAACAGTATACATATACAGAGACCCAATACTGCACTGTCAGGAAGAGCCCAAGAATGGTTGTGACTCTTAACGTATACCTCTACCCCGATATAACGCGACCCGATATAACACGAATTCGGCTATAACGTGGTAAAGCAGTGCTCCGGGGAATGGAGGGGGGGCGCTGCGCACTCTGGCGGATCAAAGCAAGTTTGATAAAACGCGGTTTCACCTATAACATGGTAAGATTTTTTGGCTCCCAAGGACAGCATTATATCGGGGTAGAGGTATATAAATTACCACCTGTTTTGGAGCTGTCAATATAAATAGTTCCTCAAAATAAAGCAAACCAGAAGCGTGAACAGTACATTTGTTTTTGTGCATACAAGGGTCTTGGCTGTGCACTCTGTGTGGGAGCAGTCTGAAGAAAAGGGCGGTTTGAGCTGCTAAGAACTAGACTACTTATATGGAAGAAACACATGAAACGCTAGAATATACTGATTGTGGTGTTTGCAAGTGTACATATGTATTAATCCCTGCTGCATCACATGCATTTCAAAAAGCAAATAGTGATGGTGACTTACTGCATGAGCTGGTTAGAATCCAGGAACCTACAGTAGCAGGCCTTTCCATGTTCAGAACGAGGGTTTCACCATCCTGTCACTTTATGTTGCCTGTGACTGGGAGGGGCAAAGACTAGTGAGATTTTCCTGCAGGTGGATGTATTGATTCAGCTTCCTTTTCGCAGTGATTCTCAGTATCTGTCCATCTGCTATTATTCTAGGAAAGTCTCTTCCTTCACCATACAGCACTGTTTATACTAGAAGCTGGGCTGTTTTATTTACTGGCTGGTAGAGATGTGAGCAGAATAGTTTTATGCCTGTGATTTGCAAAAAATTATATGAAACCCCAGAATAAACAAAAAATGGGCTCTTTGCTTGTCTTAGAATATTTCAGGGCAGTTAATGAAGCATAAACTAATTAGACAAGGAACAATGATGACTTGCAAGTAGTAAAGCAGCCTTTAGCAGCAGTAAAGCTAAACAGCTAACTTTTCTGTTTTCTCTCTTAAATTTCAGGCTCAAATTGACCATTATTTGGGACTTGTGAACAAGACTGCCAGAGATGCAGTGACTAAGTGAGTTTATGTTGGCTGTTTTAAACTAGCTTGTATAGCCTTTTTGATGTACATACAACATCTTGGGTATGTTAAGGAAGCTATGTATAGTCATCAAGAAGAAAAAACTTACTTAAAAACTGTGGGAGACTTGCAGAATCAACTGATTCCTTGCAGTGCAGTTAAAAATATTTGATGGAAAATGTTTGAATCATTCTAATAGGAGTCCAGATAAGTAGATTTATGTGCAGAGGACTTTAGGTCCTCAGCGGAGCAGGGCTGAGTGAAGAGAGATTTAGCAACTTTATTGCCAATTTTCTTAGTGTGGCAAATTAATATATCTATGATAATTATCTGTAAACATTGACATTTTCAAGGCTACATTTATGCTATAAATACTGCTTTATTTCCAAATTTAAATATCTTTTTAATTTTCTCTCACTCTTTTTTAGGATCCAAGCTAAAATACCTGGATTGAAACGCAAAACTGAGTAAAAAGCCTGAAGCAACTTCTCAATAGGAGTTCATCTTTCAGGGGGCAAATATTCATTTGAATTACATGGGGAGGGTCAGGGAATAGCAAAACCTTGACATTGCAGTGCAATTTCACAGATCTTTATATTTTAGCAGCACAGTGTTTGAGGAAAAATACCTGTTTTGACTGGCATGTGTTTCATCATCTTAAGTATTGTAAGCTGCTATGTATGGATTTAAAACTAATCATCTTTGTTTTTCCTGTGTGCAGCACCAGCTAATGCAAAAGATTTAAGAAAGCTGTACATTGTGCTTCATCAGAGGTAATTTTGCTGCATTCAAGAAAAGGTAGAGCAGAGGATAACATTTCTCATTTTGTGCACTGTGTATGGTCTGGGTATATTGAGGCAGATTTTCTAAAATGAGCTGTTAGAAGAATATACCATTAAGCAAGTTTGAAAAACTTTATCTTTTTGGTATGAGTGTAGCTGTATTGTGATTTTATTGTTTTATCACAAAGCTTAGATCTTTAAGCTGCTCCACAGTGCTTGATATTTCAGAAAATGGACTGATTTTAGGACTAGCCATAGCGCACAATCTTGAAAAATAAAATATTTCTAGAAACACTACCATCTATTTAAAAAAACAAATGAATTTGCACACACATAAAACTTAAAGCATACACTGTGTTGCACAAACATAATCTGTGGAGCAAATATCTAATTCCTCAAATGTTTGAAAATGTCAAGCATTGTTATGCAAGAAATTACAAATGAAAATGTATACACTTGTGGTTTTGAACTAAGCTGTATTGAACTAAGTCTGTGGAATGCATTGTGAAATGTAAAAACAAAAAACCCAAGTATCAATAAAGCTTATAGACTTAAAGAATTTTGGTGTTTTGTCTTGAAGAGACTACCAGATTATAATATATATATTTATTACACAAGTCAGTCGAGCATCTGTCTTATGTAGTTCAGCACTTTGGAAAATTGAGAGGGATATGAAGTTAGTCCAGCAATATTTCTGGATAACTTGTTGATTCTACTAACTTGACTGTAAAAATAAGATCAATGAAAATAGATAACCAAATTTATTTGACACAAGGGTTTTCAAATAATTATTTGGCCATTGAAAAATAAATCCATGCATTAATATTTTCAAATACAATATAATAATACAGCATTACTTCTGAGCATATTATATATAAAACCAAACCACATAAACATATACAAATCATATTTATTTAAATGTTTTCCTGATAGATACTATTGCTCTTAAATATTTTTCACAAATCACCATTTAGCAATTCATTCCATCACACAATTATTTTTATTCAGAATACAATCAACGTGAAAGGCCAACATTACAACATAGGCAAAGAAAATGCTCATCCAACATGGTTACATTATCATAATACAGAAAAGATTTACTTAAAAAAAAAAAAATAAAAATTAAGACTACATAGGGTACGTCCTATT